ACATCACACCAGTTAATTATGTGTTGATTTTTTAGTTTATATTATAATTGTATATAACAATATATTTTTTAGTTTATATTGTAATTGTATATAAGAATATTTAACTGTACAATTTAAGACAGTGTAGAGCAAAATTAAATATGAAAAAGCCATCTGTCTATTGCCAATATAATTATTTCTATGTTTCTTTGCCTGTATAAATATTACCCCTGTAGTTTTGTGTCACTTGTATATTTGTTGTGTAGGTTTGGTGTAACAGGGTTTTGTTTTTGGTTTTGGTTTTGGTTTTTTTGAGAGGGAATTTTGCTCTTGTTATGCAGGCTGCAGTACAATGGTGGGATCTCAGCTCACTGAAACTTCCAACTTCTGGGTTCATGCCATTCTCCTACCTCAGCCTCCTGAGTAGCTGGGATTACAGGCATGTGCCACCACACCTGGCTAATTTTGTACTTTTAGTAGAGACAGGGTTTCACCATTTTGGTCAGGTTGGTCTGGAACTCCTAACCTCAGGTGGTCTGCCTGCCTCGGCCTCCCACAGTGCTGTGATTACAGGTGTGAGCCACTTCACCTGGCCTGTAACAGTTTTTTAATCCTGTCTAGGTGAGTAGTCATAAAATCTCTCCCAACTTCAACGTCTATTTATTTGTGAATCTATATTAATTTTGTGTCAGAGAAACACTTTTGAATCTGAAGATAATTTAAAAACAATAATTACTCTGTATCTATTTTAGGTATTGTTTATTTTTACTTATGTGCTATGTGTCAAAAACACACAACAAAATTAACAACAAGATTTTCTAGGCCGGGCACGGTGGCTTATGCCTGTAATCCCATCACTTTCAAAGGCCAAGGCGGGTGGATCATGGTGTCAGAAGATCGAGACCATCCTGGCCAACATGGTGAAACCCCGTCTCTACTAAAATACAAAAAATTAGCCAGTCGTGGTGGCGTGCACCTATAATTCCAGCTACTGAGAAGGCTGAGGCAGGGGAATCGCTTAAACCCAGGAGGTGGAGGTTGCAGTGAGCTGAGATAATGCCACTGCAGTTTTGCCTGAGAGAGTGATAAGTACATATTTCTAAATATTCAGTTTGGTCATATTAATTATATTGACATTGTTATGCAACATATCACTAGAATGTTTTTATCTTGCAAAGCTAAATCTCACTACATATTAAACAACTACCAATTCTTCCCATTTCGTGGCACTTTTCAAACACCACTCTGTTTTCTGCTTTTAAGAGTATAACTGCTTTATATATCTCATACAATCTCTGTCTTTTTCTGGCTGGCTCATTTTATTTTGCATAATGTCATCAATATTTATCTTAATAGTTAGACTATTTTCTGCTATTTGAAAACTGAATGAGATTCCAGTATTTTTCTATCTACTGAATGACTTGGTGACAGAAATTTGCATTGCTTTAACCTATTGGCTTTCAGTAACAATGCTGCAATAATTATGTGAAAGCTAACGTGCGTGCTGCATTCATTTTTTTTCTTTTTTTTTCTTTTTTTTTTTTTTTTTTGAGATGGAGTCTCGCTCTGTCGCCCAGGCTGGAGTGCAGTGGCGTGATCTCTGCTCGCTGCACGCCCCGCCACCTCCTGAGTTCATGCCATTCTCCTGCCTCAGCCTCCTGAGAAGCTGGGACTACAGGCGCCCACCACCATGCCCGGCTAATTTTTTTGTGTATTTTTAGTAGAGGCGGGGTTTCACCGTGTTAGCCAGGATGGTCTCCATCTCCTGACCTTGTGATCCACCCGCCTCAGCCTCCCAAAGTGCTGGGATTACAGGCATGAGCCACCATGCCCGGCCTGCATTCTGTTTTATTGGTCTACTTTTTCACTTTTATACTCATACCAAATTGTTTTAATTCTGTAGCTTTTTGATGTATTTAGAAATCAGAAATTGTAATGCCTCCAACATTATTCCTTGAAGATTATTGGGTACTTTATTATCTCTTTAGATTCCATATACTTTTGGATTTGCTGTCTTTATTCAAAAATGCAATGAGAAATTTGAAAAATATTGCATTAATTCTGTAGATTAAATTGAACGGTATAGACATCTTCACAATATTATTCCTTTTTTGATTGTTTGTTTTTGAGATGGAGTTAAATTCACCCACCTCGGCCTCCCAAAGTGCTGGGATTACAGGCATTAGCCACGGCACCCAGCCCAGTAATTTCAACAAGTGCATGCTTAATAGTGTGTTGTATCATTTCTATATATTTTTAAATTTATCAATTATTTATATTATTGTTCTATACTCTAATTCCATTTTTGTTATAGAAAGTGATCTATAAAATTTCAGTTTTAAAAAATGTGTTAAGGCTTTGTTTTTGGCCTAACAGGTGGTCTATAAAGAAGAAAGTTGTATGAGCTATTGAGAAGGCTGTGTATTCTGTTGTTGTTGAGGAGTGTTCTCTATACCTTCATTAGAAATCATTGTTTTTTACTGCCTTCTAGCCTTCTGTTTCCTTACTAATATTCTCTCTTGTTTTATTAAAGAAAGTGGAGTATTGAAATGTCATATTATAATCATATTGCTCTCTCTGTGTTTATTCAGTTTTGTTAGTATTTGCTTTATATATTTGAAACCCCAATATGAGACACACACACACATAAATACACACATGTATATACAAATTTGTAATAGGTTCCCAGTGAATGAATCTATATATTTTTTTAACGTCCTTCTTTGTCTTTTTGAAGTTTTGACTTCAAAAAGTTCTTTGTCTTTTTGAAGTTTTGACTTCAAAAAGTACATTTTATAAAGTATGACAGTTTTTAACTTAACATGTAGCTTGTGTAATATTATTTTGACCCCTTCTCCTCTCATTTTGTTAATAGTTACATGAAATTTCTACTTCCGTTTTGCCACTTTCAGTCTTTTTTTGTCATTAGATCTCAACTGACTCTTGTAGAAAGGCAAGTTGAATCTTGATTTTTATAATTTCTTAATAAACCTGTTTATTGAAAGTATATCTCTTGATTGGAAAGATAATTATATATATATTTAAATGGTTTTATGAAAGAGAAAAACTAATGTTATTTTATTAATTGTTATATTTGATTCTTGTATCTTTGTCTCTCCTTTTCTCTTTCTGTGGTTTTTGAGTTTTTTTGATTTTTGTATTGGTATGCATTCAGGATTCTTTTAATTTTCTTTTGTGTATCCATACAAATATTTTCTTAGCAGTACCTTGGGGATTACATGAAACCTCTAAAAGATCCAACAATATATTTGAATGTGGTAAAAAATAAACTTCAGTTGAATACAAAAATTCTTCATCATTACATCTGCCTACATTGCAGCTCCTAAAATTTCTCTTCTTATCTGTGAGTTTTGAAGTTTTGCTTGTATGTGTGTTTGTTATAAATATCTTTGTGTGTATCCTAGTTTTTTCAGCTTTTTCATGTTTACATTAGTTTTTCTTTTAAGAAATTTTTCAGTTATTTTTTGAATTTTTATATCCACAATTTTTGTTTTTTGCTATTTTAATATTTCTTATTATTATCTTCATTTTTATCTTCAGTACTTATCTGTTTCACTTACCTTATATTTTTCAAATTTATTTATTTATTTGTTTGTTTATTTATTTATTCATTCATTCATTCATTCTGAGATGGAGTCTTTTTCTGTTGCCCAGTCTCTGGAGTGCAGTGGTGCGATCTCTGCTCATGGCAACCTCTGCCTCCTGAGTTCCAGCGATTCTCCTGCCTCCGTTTCCCAAGTAGCTGGGGTTACAGGTGGCTGCTGGCATGCCCGGCTAATTTTTTGTATTTTTAGCAGAGACGGGTTTTCACCATGTTGGTCAGGCTAATTTTGGACTCCTGACTTCAAATGATCCACCCATCTTGGCCTCCTAAGTTCCTGGGATTATAGGCGTGAGCCATTGTGCCCAGCCTATTTTATTTTAGTTTTGAAACAGTCTTGCTCTGTCACCCGTTCTGGAGTGCAGTGGTACAATATCCACTCACTGCAATCGTCCCCTCCCATGTTCAAGCAATTCTTGTGTGTCAGCCTCCCAAGTAGCTGGGATTACAGGCACATGCTACCACGCCCAGCTAGTTTTTGTATTTTTAGTAGATACAGGGTTTCACCATGTTGGCCAGGCTGGTCTCAAACTCTGATCTAATGTGGTTTACCCACCTTGGCCTCCTAGTGTGTTGGGATTCCAGGAATGAGCCACCAAGCTTGACCTGTACAGTTTATTGGGAATTTTTAAAATTACTTTATATACATTTTATGGTTGCTTTTGAAAATTTTATAACTTTGATGGGGTCATATTGCTCTAATATTTTGTATTTATTGTAATCTTTGAGATTTTGACATTAACAAAATGCTACCTGTTACAATCTTTGTAATATAGCTTTGTCCTGGCATAGTCTGAAATCAATTGTCTTAACTAGAGATTCTGGGAATCTCAGCTCACTGCAACCTTCACCTCCCAGGTTCAAGCAATTCTCTGCCTCAGCCTCCTGAGTAGCTGGGATTACAGGTGTCCACCACCACACCCAGCTAATTTTTTGAATTTTAGTACAGATTGAATTTCACCATCTTTGTCAAGCTGGTCTTGAACTCCTGACCTTCTGATCCACCCACATCAGCCTCCCAACATGCTGGGATTACAGGCATGAGTCACCCTGGCCGGTCAACAATTTGCTTTTAAAGGCACAATGTTATACTGGAGAGCAAAAACAGCTGTGTTGGGTATAAGTAACAGACTTTTCTATTATCTTCCATTTGGCCCTTTGCATTGTGCTCACCTGGGGCCCTTCACAACTTATTTGTAAGTTTTTTACAAATGTATTTTGGTCAGTATGTTTTTGTTAAATTTATATGTCCAGGAAGAAATTACAGCTGTGGTATTTTGCTGTGTCATCTTGCTTATGTAGTTTTTATAGTTTTATACAAACTACATAAGCAAGATGACATATTTATATTTATCTGAGTCTACCAATTGAAGTAATGTGTTTTTGTTGTTTCTTTCAGTTATATATTCTCATTTTGCCCAAGACCTTTGGCCAGAGCAGAGCATAAAAGATACTTTCCAAAAAGTGATACTGAGAAGGTATGAAAAATGTGGACATGGCGATTTACAGTTAAAAAAAGGACCTGAAAGTGTGGATGAGTGCAAGGTGCACAAAGAAGGTTATAATGAACTTAACCAATGTTTGACAACTACCCCGAGAAAAATATTTCAGTGTGATAAATATGTGAAAGTGTTTCATCAATTTTCAAATTCAAACAGACAAAAGAGAGGACGTACTGGGAAAAAACCTTTCAAATATATAGAATGTGGCAAAGCTTATAAGCAGTTCTCAACTCTTACTACACATAGGAAAATTCATACTGGAGGGAAACCCTACAAATGTGAAGAATGTGGCAAAGCCTTTAAGCACTCCTCCACTCTTACTACCCATAAGAGAAATCATACTGGAGAGAAACCGTACAAGTGTGATAAATGTGGCAAAGCCTTTATGTCATCCTCAACCCTTAGTAAACATGAGATAATTCATACGGAAAAGAAACCCTATAAATGTGAAGAATGTGGCAAAGTCTTCAACCGGTCCTCAACCCTTAGGATACATAAGATAATTCATACTGGAGAGAAACCCTACAAATGTGAAGAATGTGGCAAAGCCTTTAAGTACTCCTCTACCCTTACTACACATAAGAGAATTCATACTGGAGAGAAATTCTGCAAATGTGAAGAATGTGGTAAAACCTTCAAGCGGTCCTCACGCCTTACTACACATAAGATAATTCATACTCGAGAGAAATTCTACAAATGTGAAGAATGCAGCAAAGCTTTTAAGCAGTTCTCTAACCTTACTACACATAAGAAAATTCATACTGGAAAACCCTACAGATGTGAAGAATGTGGCAAAGCCTTTGAGCGCTCCTCTAAACTTACTACACATAAGAGATTTCATACTGGAGAGAAACCCTACAGATGTGAGTAATGTGGCAGAGCTTTTCACCTATCCTCACACCTTACTACACATAAGATAATTCATACTGGAGAGAAACCATATGAATGTGATGAATGTGGAAAAGCTTTTAACCAGCCCTCAATTCTAACTATGAGAATTGATATGGAATATAAACCCTACAAATATAAAGAACGTGACAAATTTTTTAAGGAACTTCTCAACTTTTATTACACATAATTCATACTGGAAAGAAACTCTACAAGTTTGAAGAATGTGGCAAGGCATATAACAAGTTCTTTTTTTTTTTTTTTTTTTTTTAGATGGAGTTTCAACTCTTATCACCCAGGCTGGTGTGCAACAGCACAATCTCGACTCACTGCAACCTCTGCCTCCTGGGTTCAATCCATTCTCCTGCCTCAGTCTCCCAAGTAGAGGAGATTACCGGTGCCCACCCCCACGCCCAGCTAACTTTTTTATTTGTAGTAGAGACAGGGTTACACCATGTTTGTCAGGCTGGTATCCAACTCCTGACCTCACATAATCCACCCACCTCGGCTTCCTAAAGTGCTGGAATTATAGGCATGAGCCACCATGCCTGGCCACAAGTTCTTAATTCTTAAGAGACATGGTGATAATTCATGCTGAAGAGGAACTCTACAAACGTGAAAGGTGTGACAGTGCTTTTATCAACACCTCCATCCTTTCTAGACATAAAAAATTTATACTAGTGTGAAACCCTAGAAATATATAAAATGTAAAACAACCTTTATATGGTTGCCATTTTTGATAGTAAGATAATTCATACTGGCAAAATTCCTACAAGCATGAAGAATGTGGCAAAACTTTTAGTCAGTGTGTACACCTTATTTCGCAGGAAAGCTAGTATCCTTGAGAAAAATTGTACAAATATAAAGAATATGGAAAACCCATGAATGCCTACTCATATCTTACTCAACAAAGAAGGTTCATAGTTAATAAAAGCATTAAAAGTGCAATTACTGTCAAAAAGTTTTTCAGAAAATATAAGCCTTTAAAGTGAAGAAGAGTGTTTATTCTGAAGACAACCATTACAAATTTAGAGGGGGTTTATTGCACACATTTTGTACTAGAGGAAAACCCTGAAGCAGTTGCTCCAGCTTTGCTCAACATCAGGGAACTTATATTGGAGAAGAGTCTTGCAAATGTAATGAATTTGGAAACACTTAAAAAAAAAAAAAAGTACAGCTCAGAAAACACCAGAGTTTATACTAAAAAATATTTTTGCAGAGGCAGTCAACATGAAAAAATATTTAATTCAAAATTAATTGTATGTACATATCAGAGAATTAAAGAATAAGATACTGACACTTCAGACATTACACTAAATAACAGTGTTGAGTATAAAAATGAATTCACAACTAAAGGTGTTAAATTATTTGTATATAACTTTTGATATAACTATTTGTATATAACTATATAAAAAGAGATTTTTTTGAAGCTTTGTAATTACATTGAAAGTATACTGGTTTCCTTGAAAACAATTTTTTGAAAAGTGAATAATGATGTAATACAGCTTTCAAATTACTTTATGCTGTTACTTTATTGTATTCACATGTGAACATATGTGATCAATTGTCACTGCATCAGAGATATTAGAGATTATTGGACATTCTTTATGACCTTTTCTATAAAAGAGTAAAGACATTAAAATGTAAGATGCATGATGAAAATATAAGTGGAGAGGCTTATTGTAGTTAACCTGAATTAAGCAATGTTTAAGGTAGGTGTTCAGAGTAATACTTTTCTGCATTATACTGAGAGAAAGAAATTATAAATTATAGTTAATCAATTATTGTATTATTTTACTAATTTTACTGTTATGTAATAAAATGTTATTTTAAAATTGTTAGATTATGTGTGAACTTAATTTATATTTTATTTATTTATTTATTTAACTTTTCTCTTAAGATGGAGTCTTGCTCTGTCACCCAGGCTGGAGTGCAGCAGCATGATCTCAGCACAATGACTGCAACCTCTGCCTCCCAAGTTCAAGAAATCCTCCTGCCTTAGCCTCCCGAGTAGTGGGGACTACAGGTGCGCGACACCACTCCTGGCTAATTTTTGTATTTTTAGTAGTCACAGGGTTTGCTCATATTGGTCAGGCTAGTCTCGAACTCCTAAGCCAAGCGATCCACCCACCTCGGCCTCCCAAAGTGTTGAGATTACAGGTGTGAGCCAGTATGCCTGGCCTAATTTTATTTTTTACCGTCTTAAAACTATTGTGCATTTAATGAAGCATTATTATGCCACTAACTTTAACCTATCCCACTATACTCAATGGTGTAAGTAAAAGATGAAAGAAGTATACTATTTGGCATATAGTGGACTACCATCACTAGTAATCACTTTGCCAGTAGCTTTAAACTGCAAATGAATTGAAGAATATTGTTCCCATTAGTTAAATTTTTAATCTTTTTTCGTAATTTATTATTACTATTTTTGAGTATATAGTATGTGTATATATGTCTTATAGAGCATATTTTGATTCAGGCATATAATATGTAGTAATTAGGGTAAATAAGGTATCCATCACCTCTAGTATTTATCCTTTCTATTCCAAACAGTGTAATTATACACTTTTAGTTATTTTAAAATATCCAATTAAATTGTAATTGACAACAGGGTTATTTTTATGGTCATAATAAAAATTATACAGATATATAAATAGAATATGGGCTGGGCACAGTGGCTCATGCCTGTAATCCTAGCACATTGGTAGGCCAAGTCGGGCAGATCATGAAGTCAGGAGTTCAAGACCAGCCTGACCAACATTGTGGAACTCTCTCTACTAAAACTACATAAATTAGTTGGGCATGGTGGTGCACCTGTATTCCTAGCTACTCAGGAGCCTGAGGCAGGAGAATGGCTTGAACCTGGGAGGTGGAGGTTGCAGTGAGCTGAGAGAGCACCACTGCACTCCAGCCTGGGTGACAAAGGGACACTCCATCTCAAAAAAAATAAATAAATAAAGAAGCCGGGCGCAGTGGCTCACACCTGTAATCCCAGCACTTTGGGAGGCTGAGGCGGGTGAATCACAAGGTCAGGAGATCAAGACCATCCTGACTAACATGGTGAAACCCTGTCTCTACTAAAAATACAAAAAATTACCTGGGTGTGGTGGTGGGCGCCTGTAGTCCCAGCTACTTGGGAGGCTGAGGCAGGAGAATGGCATGATCCCGGGAGGTGGAGGTTGCAGTGAGCCAAGATCATGCCACTGCACTCCAGCCAGGGCAACAGAGCAAGACTCCATCTCGGAAAAAAACGGCCATGTGCAGTGGCTCACGCCTGTTATCCCGGCAATTTCGGAGACTAAAGCAGGTGGATTGCCTGAGTTCAGGAGTTCAAAACCAGCCTGGCCAACATGGTGAAACCCTGTCTCTACTAAAAATAGAAAAATTAGCCAGGCATAGTGGCGCACACCTGGAGGCTGAGGCAGGAGAATCACTTCAACCTGGGAGGTGGAGGTTGCAGTGAGCTGAGATTGCAGTGCTGCACTCCAGCCTGGGTGACAGAGTGAGATTCCTCAAAAGAAAAAAATATATATATATAATTTTTACATTTCTGAGTCCTGAAAAATTATTAATAAATATTTGTTATATAGTTTTCTTTGAACATGTGGTCTCTTTGCTTGCAAACGTAGAGACTTTTAGTTTTAATTTTCATAGAGTGAAATATACACATACTCCTCTGAAGATAAACCTTAAGTGTAAGAAATTATGAAGTGTGTTTGGTGAGTATGCATTCGTACATATTTTCCGAAGAAAAGCATAATTGTTGGAAAAAAAATTTTAATTAGGTGACTAATGGAAAACTAAACACCTTGAATATGCTGAAAGCAAATGTATACTTTCTGCTTTGTATTGAATTTATTAATGTAAAATGTTATGGCTTATGGCTTGGATTCTCCCCAGAATAAAGCACAGGCAACTTTGTCTCCAGAAATAACACTCTGAGTACAACAATAAAAGCCCTCTTCAAACACACACAAAAAATTATTTTTAACGCTTATTTTAATAAAAATTAAACCAAAATTGAATAATTGGATATATTTTCATTGTTCTATTTGTGTGTGAATGTATAAAATGGCACATAAAGAAAAAATAATTTAAGCCAGAAAAAAGAGGTTAGTTAATATTTGTAATGAATAAAACTGGAAAGTAGTTCATTATTATTTGCAGATGACATTTTTGTTTATGTAGATAACAAAACAGTAGAAAGACTTTTTAAAGTTTATTCAGGTGGGTAGGCAACATTCTAAGATAATACCCTGGATTCCCAGTCTGTTGCACACCTACTGTGTAATACTTTCCTCTTGAGTGTAGAAACATGTGTGACTGTGGTGGGAAATCACTCATGAAATTAGGTTACTCATGTGTTGACTTTGTGTTTACCAAAATGGTAAATGTGTTTACCAAAATGGAGATTATCCTGATTGTGCTAAACTTGTGGGCCATGTTGTAACTGCTCATGGTGGCCACATGAAGGAAACATGTTTGTATATTGTCATCATTTCTACCTTCCGCATGTTGCTTCCAGTAGGGAGAGTATGGCAGAGGGAAGAAAAGGGAATCTCATTCATGCAAGAAATAATCACCTGTCACCTGGGATAGCTTAAGAAAAACAGGAGACCACAACAGGCCCACATTAATGAAAAAGGTAACCTGGGTAAAAGTGCCTACTGTCATTATGGAACAACATTTAGTAAGCTGTAGTAAATGATCAGCTTCTGGGACACCAAGAGTCTACCAACAAGGCTGAACTCATTCTAATTCAATCAGCATGTCTGCACCATTCTGGTGACCCAGGTTTACACTACTCATTACAGAAATACCATGAAGACCAGTGGGTAATGTCCTAGAACTGAACTTACTTCAAATCATACCTAATTGTTTTCACATTTGAAAAACCTTAAACACAATGAATTCATAAACAATTCTAATTATAAATGATTTTACTACACTGTAATAAACTGTAAACAATATGAATATTTCTTGAACGCATAATTAGTTATGTAGACAGTGTGAAAAAAAAATTAAACTCGCCAGGCACAGTGGCTCATGCATGTAATCTCAGCACTTTGGGAGGCCAAAGTGGGCAAATCATGAGGTCAGGTGTTCGAGACCAGCCTGACCAACATGGTGAAACCCCATCTCTACTAAAAATACAAAAATTGGCCAGGCGCGGTGGCTCACACCTCTAATCCCAGCACTTTAGGAGGCCGAGATGGGCGGATCATGAGGTCAGGAGATCGAG